AATTTTTACTGCAGATTTTTTGAAAAATCTACCTTGATAAAGCGAATATTGAATATTTAGTGTGTGGTTTTAAGAATCTTAGCATGAATAAAGACTGAGGTTCATTCTAATGTGTTAAACATGCGCATATTTTAATTATTCACTGTACTGAGCGTCAGTCTACGGCCCTCGATCGACCTTCTACTTTGTCTGTGTTTAGATATGTGGCCCTTGATGAAAAAAGTTTGGACACCTCTGATTTAGGGCGACAGGAGCTCAGTTGGTCGAGCGTTTGTCCACTGATCTGAAGTTTTGGCGGTTCGAATCGCGCTCTCGACATAAACATCACTGGTTGGGCGGTCAGATCCACTGAGCCACAGGTTATTGGTGCGATTCCAGCTCCCACAGATGAATGCCGTTGTTGTGTCCTTAGGCAAGGCACTTAACCCACCTCGCCCCCAGAGTCTGTGTGCACTGGTGTGTTTTAATGTGTGAGTGGTTCCTTGTTGTAAAGCGCTTTGAATGTCTGAAAAATAATAATCATAATAATGCATCAGTTTTACATGGAGCTTTTCTGGACACTCAGAGACACTTTACAGATCATTATTCATTCACTCCAGACCAAGAGGTGGTAAGATACTATTGTAGCCACAGCTGTCCTGGGGCAAACTGACGGAAGCGAGGCTGTCAATCTGCACCATCGACCCCTCTGACCACCACCATCACTGACACACACACTACTTTCATACTAGACAATGTGGGTGAAGTGACGTTACACAACATGACACAACATGAATGTAAACACACCGGATTGTAGCGTCAGGCTAATTTCCATCCGTTGTTCCAAAAGTGTCTTGCCTAAGGACACAAAGTCATTTTTTTGCGACTTGATGTTCCCGGTGGCCTCCCATCCAAGTACTAACCAGCTTTGCTTAGTTTCTTAAGATCTGACGGGATCAGGATTTTTGACAAGCCGGTCTTGAATGTGAAAAAGCGCTAAATAAACATGTGACCATTTACCATATCACAAAGCATTAGGTATTTACAATGTTACAAGTGTAGATTAGCATGCTAGTTGTTAGATTTACCATGATGTAAAAACTCTAAACTGGTCTTGGAAAGTTGTGAAAATCACTCATAAACTCAATGCGTTGAATAGTTAGAAGAGTCATGTGTTTTTCCACCTTCAAGGCACTTTTCTTTGTTCATTTTCATTAGTTTGAGCAGCATGTCTGTATAAAGGTACATGACAAACACAAAGACATGCACACGTACAAATGCTGGGACCATTTCTGGTGCTCAAAAGGAGTAGATAGAACAGACGTTTTAAAATGTATTGTGTCCTACCCAAACATGTCATTAGCTTTTATTTTTTTTCCCCAAAACTCTTTACATCAAGGAATGACTCACCCATTTGCACACATTCACACATCGAGGGGGGTTTAGTGTCTTGCTCAAGGGCACAGCAAAAGTATTCATCTGGCAACCTGTGGCTCAGTGAATCAGGCCGATCAACCGAAGATGAACCTCCAGATCAGAAGACGAGCTCGACCACCTGAGCTGCTGCTGCCCCTTTAACATCCTTTTATTTTATTTTATTTTTTCGATCCATGGGGTTGTAGTCTATGTTTTGTTTTGTTTTGTTTTGTTTTGAAGTGCTGCAAAATGACCAAATAAACTACTACTTATAAACCAACTTTTCTATCTTCATGGAGACCAAACCGGACCAAGTTACATGCCAGATCTGTGGAGAGGCGACCCCGCTCAGAGTAAGAACGTCTCTTTTTCTTGGTATTTTTCACCTATAAAACCATCTATAATTAAATAAATGTAACGTAAAGCTGTTTAATGTCACGCTGCGGGACATTCTAGGCAGAGCAATGACATATCCATGGAAACGAGCAGGTGACGGACCACTAATCGAAAAGTTACACAGTGCAGCTTTAAGTTAAGCATCTATTGTTCAAGTGCTGCGATCGCGATATTTGTACAGGAAAGAATAACGTTGAACGAATAAATGAATGAGCCCCGTTTCCTACTTTAGAAAATATAGTGTATAAAATTGCATTATTAGAAATCAGAATCAGGAACTGCAAAAAACAAAAAAAAGGCCAAAATTTAAGGTATAAACACTTAAATCTATCAGAAAATGACATAAAAGTAGAGAAATGAATTCGTGTATCATTCGTTCATTCGTTTTTCAATATAAAACCAAAAATAAGAAAACGAAAAAACAACAGTTTTCTTCGTTATTTGTCTCCAAAACCAAAATGAAAAAATGGATAACGATTCGTTTTTTCAGTTTTCGATTTTGTGTTTAAATGAAGAATGGAAAAAACGGATAACGGCCGTTTCCCGTTTACGTGACTGTGACTGCGATGAACTTTTGCACCGCATACGGACTGAACCGGGACTGATCCAGGACCGAGACCAGAGCGGGACTGAGACCGGGACCAGACTGGGACCAGACCGGGACCAGACCGGGACCAGACCGGGACCAGACCGGACTCCAAGCTTTCACCCCAACGAAAACGAACCGAACTAAGAGCTTTTGGTTCAGATGGACCAGGTCCGGGACTGAGACCGGGACCAGAGCGCTACTGAGACTCAGTCCCGCTCTGGTCCCGGTCTGGTCTCAGTCTGGTCCCGGTCTCAGTCCCGCTCTGGTCCCGGTCTGGTCTCGGACCTGGATCAGTCCTGGTTCAGTCCGTATGCGGTGCAAAAGTCCGGCATCGCAGTCACAGAAGTCACATAAACGGGAAACGGCCGTTATCCGTTTTTTCCATTCTTCATTTAAACACAAAATCGAAAACTGAAAAAACTAATCGTTATCCGTTTTTTTCATTTTGGTTTTGGAGACAAATAACGAAGAAAACTGTTGTTTTTTCGTTTTCTTATTTTTGGTTTTATATTGAAAAACGAATGAACGAACGATACACAGATTGAAATGATCCATCTGTGCTGAAAGATCATTTTACTTGACGAGTTCTCTTAAAAACAAACGACCTCTAGACTGAAAACAAGATAAAATAAACTGAAGTTTTCAAATCTAGGCCAGATCAGAGAAATGTGCAGTGTCATGACGGGCGGGCTTTCCCTTGTGTACTGATACCGTTTGGTGATTGACAGGTGAAGATGTAATTATGTGTTCAATAGCGACGTGCTGTAACCAGTCCATCACGTTTACTCCTCCCTTAAGCCTCTGTTACTCTGGCAGCCACAACTGAAACAGAGCTGGAGTTATGCAAATAAACAAATAACACGATGAAAGGGTAAAGTATTTTCTGATCTGTGTTCTAAAGTCGTTTCCTTATCACAAACAGATCTGGAGTTGTGTTTTGTTTTACTCGCACATGTTAAAACACACAAGTCCTGCAAATGTATTTATTGAAGCGTCTCTCCAAAGAACACTTGGACTTTTCCATTTGTTTATTTATTTATACGCTTGGGAATGAGAAACGCAATTTCAATTCTTCATTTGTTTCGTATGAAGAATTGACAATAAACTGTTTTGAATTTGAGAGAAGAACTCAGCCTAAATTAATTTTTTTTGTTTTGTTTTGTATTTTTGTTGTGTTTGTTGTGGGTGTTGCTTCACGTTTTTCTGTTTTGTTAAATGCTGAATACTGTAATTTGTTAAATGTTATATATTCTGTTGTCCTTAATAAAACAAAACCACAAAACACTCTGTTCCACCTTGTGATGTCATGTGGAAATGCAGGAAGTGTGTACGAGTGTTTTTAAACTTTTTCCCTAGAATCACTGGTATAATTTCAGTCCTGGAAATTCCAATCTCTACTGAACAAAAGGTAAAATGAGCTGTTCACTTGGAAACTACCACTTCATGACATCACAAGGTGGAACGGAGCATTTTGAGCTTTGGAGATGTGGGGTCTTGCTCACCGTGAACGCCACAAACAAACAAAACCACTCACCCATCCAACTGTTGTGTTTCCTTTAAAGTCCCACGTGGTTTATTTGTGAAAAAAGTTAGAAAATAGACCATTTAATGACAGTGCGTCTTATAATAGCCCTAATAGCCAGAAAATACGGTACCAGTCATTGTTAAATGCACATTTGCACTTCGGCGTGTTGCAGATTGACCGACTGTTTGTGTCTCGCTCCTTCTGGGTCACAGACGCTACGAGAGACGCTCAGTTTAACGGCCCCAATGAAAGATCATGAAAACCCGGACATTTCCGTCACTTAAAAAAAAAAAACGCCTAGAACAGGACGCAAAAAACTGACATGTCCGGGGAAAAACGGACGTTTGGTCACCCTACCATATTTTCCCCGACTGTTGCAATGGAACGCATTTTGACTGATTATTGATTGATTGATTATTTATTCCGGTCACAGGTATATTTTGACATTAATTCACAGACAGTCATATTTAACATACACAGGTGTAGGTTGAAGTTAAAGCTTATTCTGCCTTTACCCTTTATTCCTTTGTCAGAGCGTCATCTTAACACCAGCTCATCTTCATAAATACAGCGAGAGGAAACAAACAAATCAGAAACAGAACAACAAAGTTCTACAGCACAAACTAAGAATCATATTTCATGTTTCTGTCCAGAGTTAAACATTTAAACTCCTTTGTAAAGTGAAAGAGACTGGTGCACAATTGTAGGTTTTCTGTACATTTACAACGGACGTCGGAAGAACTGACCTGGATTTATCGACTACCGACATTCAATAGAACGCAGCAAATGTGCAACGACTGTTTGCCCCACAGCGAGACCTACCCCGACCCGCCCACCCCCTCACCTTCCTCCTCCGCCGCACCAAAGCCTGTGGTAAACTCCTCCAACATGTACCAGGAAGTCTCCCCATTAGCGTCATCTTTACAAACGTGTTCGCGGTCTCCGTCAAACACTGAGCCCAATTCATAAAACCCTTAACACGTGATCCATGTCAAAACACTCCGCCGTAATTACAATCATTTCCCCGTAAATATCAGTTATCAGCTCGTCTCAGATGTTCCGTGCCGCGCCCTGTAATTAAACCGTAATGCGTACCTTGAAGATGCCCACCCAGTCTTTGGGGTGGGGGGCGATGTAGGGCGTCAGGGTGTAGTGGCACTCCAGGGGGGCTTGGGGCAGGAAGCTCTTGCCCACGTTCTGGAAGATGACGTGGGCGAAGTTGGAGGTCTCCATGATGCTGACGCTGCTGCCCGGGGAGGAGTCCACCACCTGGAACGAGGACATGGTCTCCAGCGGGTCTCCTCAGATCTCCTCAGGGCTCTGGAACAGGAGAAAGTCAGTTTAGAGCTTTTTGCAGATGACGTTATGACATTTAGAGCTTTATTAGTGGGTGGCAAGGGGATATAAATGGACCCGGTCAAGCAGAAGTAAACAGCAAGGCCAAAAATTCTAGTTAATCTGATATAAAAATGTATTGAACAGATACATATGTACTCTAGTTTATGAAACTGTTGACCTTTTTTCTGTACCATTTTTGGTTCTAAAGTTCCATATGTTTTAAACAGACCATGTATGAAACATGGAACAAAAATTATTTCCCAAATTTCAAAGACCTGAAAATCATGTAAATAAATGGATGTATTTCATCATATCTTGTGTTATTCCATCTTTGAACTGTTGATGAAGGTACAGGATTTTTAAAAAAATATAATATTTAAAATGATAAAAATTTGCTTGGAAGGACTGACATATTTTATAGAAATAGTTTCCTTTCATTTTGAAGTAATATTAAAGTATTCGGAAGAAAAAAGCGACAAATGATGTAAAATCCTGCACCTTCTACTTGTTTGTACAATTTTCCCTCCGTTACTTTTCCCTCCGTTACCATGATCTTTCTTAATAAAAAATCATGAGTCAAAAAGTAAGAGGTTTTTCAACCTAATCTTGTACCATATGGTAGAAAAACTATATGAAGCAAATATTCAAACCAGTTTGTTAAGGATTTGTAAGTGAGAACCAAGAGTTATCACTGTTTGGATTTATTGACCAAAAAGTGCTGCATATTTCATTCCCTCCGTTACCGACATGAGTTTTTAAATGTTTTGTCAACAACTTGAAAGAATCTCACAGGTTTAACTTGACCCTGTTGGAGTGTAACTCTTTCCTACATTCTGATACTTTACTTATTTCAATAGTTCCTCTAGTTTCTGAATAAGAGACATTTGAATGTCAAAAATCTGCCCCTGTTTCCCTCCGTTACCACTTGACCGAACCCAAATGTACAAAAAGTGACACATTTTCTTCTGTAAAAGCTCAAAACTCTCTCAGAATATTACTAAAAGTGCAGAGTTTCTGTCATGCCGGAGACATTTCTGTTAACTGTGCTGTGAGATCCTGTGTTGTCAAGATTAGATTTTGTATTTGGACGCAACTTGATCATTCTCAACATTTAATTACTTAATTCTAAGTAATTACAGTGTTCCCTCGTTTATCGCGAGGGTTACATTCTAAAAATAACCCGCGATAGGTGAAATCCGCAAAGTAGTCAGCTTTATATTTTACAATTATTATATTTGTTTTAAGGCTGTAAAACCCGTCAGCATAAACTTTATACACTTTTCTCAGACAGGACAGTTACAACCCTTTTTACATCCTTCTTAAAACTTATTGCTGCTGTCGTCCTTTTGTTATTTTCCTCCTTCTTCATGTAACGAACCGAAGATTCATTTATTCCATAATGGAGACCTACAGCGCAGAGTCCTGCACGGGTCCATTTTGGAGACTCGCACCCGTGCAGGACAGGACCACACCTGCCCATTAACCCGAGATTCAAACTTATATCAAACAAATATCAAAAACATATCAAACTTTTGCGATGCCTACGCCACGGACTGAACCGAGACTAAACCAGGACTGACCCAGGACTGAAGAGGAGGACTAAACCAGGTCTGAACTAGGACTAAAACAGGACTATTTTTGACCAATCTGATCCCTGCCAGCAGTAAAGAGAAACATAAACTGTCATTCGTTTCGATAAATAACAGAAAAGCTTCTTAAAAATGACCAAAACACAAAGAAAATGTGACTGTACTGACTCACATTTTGGTCATGAATGGTCTCTGCGTAACTTCTTGATTACGCCCTCGTTTTACAATTTTATTATTTATCAAAAAAACAGGGATGTCCCAGTTTTTTATTTTGAAATTCTGGTCAGAGAAAAACACTTGACCCACTATGATATTACAACAATATTTAACCATGCAGTGAATCTTTTATTAACTAGTAAAAGGACTCAAAATATTAACAAAAAGACTAAATAGAGACTAGCTTCACATTATTATAAGTTGTATTTCTTTCCATGTACCTCAGAAACATCCACTGGGTGTGACTAAGGAGTTTAGTGCCGGACGATAAAAGATAATATTTAAACTTATATTGAGAAAATGAAGCAGAACACACGTGACAACCCTAATGTTTACGTCTGCATGGTCTTCTGACTCATTTTAACGTCTGGATTTAATACGGTTTTGTCTGGAATTGTGAAAAGAGCGAGTGAATTTGTCCATTCTAGACTCACTTGTGGACATTTGTTGGTGCATTTTTTCGCTTTGTAGTTGTTTTCAAGCACGATTTTCTGTATTTTAGCCAAACAAATGACAATATATTCTTCTCTTTACACTGCGAAAAAGCTTGGCCAAAATTTTAGACATAATAAACACTTAAATCCATCAGAAAATGACTTAAAAGTTGCTGAAATGATGTGTCCATGCAGCAAGATCATTTTACTTGACGAGTTCTCTTAAAATAAACGACCTCTAGGCTAGAACGAAGCGTCTCAGAACAAGTAAGCAAAAAATTAATCTGAAAACAAGATGAATAACCTGATACAAGTTTAAAAATCTTGGCCGGATAAGCTGGTGCTGGTAAGGATCAAATAACAATTATTTTTTTCAGTTTTCGATTTTGTGTTTAAATGAATAATGGAAAAAACAGATAACGGCCATTTCCTGTTTCTGTAACTTAGACTGCGATGCCGGACTGGACCAGGACTGAACCAGGACTGGACCAGGACTAAAACAGGACTAAACTAAGGACTAAACCAGGACTAAACAAGACTAAACCAGGAAAAAAACAGGACTGAACCAGGACTGAACCAGGACTAAACCAGGACTAAACCAGGACTAAACCAGAACTGAGCCAGGACTGAACTAGGACTAAACCAGGACTAAAACTGGACTGAACCAGGACTAAACCAGGACTGAACTAGGATTAAAACAGGACTAAACCAAAACTAAACCAGGACTAAACCAGGACTAAACTAAACCAAGACTAAAACAAGACTAAACCAAACTAAGGACTAAACTAGGACTAAAACAGGACTAAAACAGAAATAAAACTGCAACCTAAACCGGGCCCATCCCGGACTAAACAAAGGACTAAAACCTGGTTCAGTTCTGGTTCAGTCCTAGTTCAGTCCTTGTTTAGTCCTGGTTGAGTCCAGTGTCGCAGTTAAACGGGAAACGGTTATTATCCGTTTTTTCCTTTATTCATTTAAACACAAAATCTAAAACTGAAAAAACAATCCATTATCAATTTTTTTATAGTTTTTTTTTTTTTTTTCTTTTATTATTTTTGATTTTATATTGAAAACGAATGAACGAATGACACAGGGATTGTTCTAGTCTATGTTTTGTTTTGTCATGCTGCAAAATAACCAAATAAACTACTACTAATAAAACTACTACGGCATGCGGCAAGATCATTTTATTTGACAATTTATCTTAAAATAAACAACCTCTAGACTAGAATTAATCATCTCAGAACTAGTAAGTCGATAATAAATCTGAAAACAACATGAAATAACCTGATATAAGCCTTAAAATCTTGGCCAGATCAGAGAAATTTGCAGAGAACTGGGTCGTTTCTTGTATAAAACTGGGTCAAATCTGTGGTTTTGTATAAATCTGCAGGGTCAGGGGAAACTGGGCTCAAAACTGGGACTGTCCCGGGTAAACTGGGACGCGTGGACACCCAGATTTTGTCCTTTTCGTGACATCAGCACGAGCCATTCTCAGGGTGGTGCCAGGGCAGGATCCGTACGGCGGAAATACAACATCAGTGCGCAGTGCCAAGTGAAGTACGCGGATTATTGTGCAAAAATAAAGCCAAACTGGGGTATAAAAACGTGTAATGTGGTAAAATAAATGATGAAAACGCGGAGAGACAGTGGCCCATAACACGCAGCAAACCCACGTCACGTCCCCCGCGGCAGAACGTGCGTTTATGACACGCTGACAATAACACCGAGCCCAGTTTCGCGGAATAATCTGATTAAATACGGATCGTGGAGCGAGCAGGCCGCGTCCACGTCCTGCCCACGTCCACGTCCACGTCCTGTCCTGTCCTGTCCGCGTCCTGTCTTAGCACAACATTAGCCCCGCGGAGAGTCTGCAGTCAGAGCGCGCAGAGGAGACGCTGTGTACCCATGTCAGACTGAGTGCGCCCGGGCACGGAGGCTTCGGAGGGTTCGGGGAGGGGTTCGGGCTGCTCCTCTGCCGCTGTCTGTCCTGGTGCCGCGGTGGTGCTGGTGCTGCTGATGGTGGTGGTGGTGGTGGTGCTCTTGTTGTTGTGGCGATGACGCGTCTGCTGCTGCTGCTGCTGCTCAGGGATGCGGCACTTCCGGGGTGATGCTGAGGAGGAGACTCACGTGAGAGGATTCTTAAAGGGACACGAGGGTCTGTGTGTCTGTGGGTCTGAGGGTCTGAGGGTCTGAGGGTCTGAGGGTCTGAGGGTCTGTGGGTCTGTGGGTCTGAGGGTCTGTGGGTCTGTGGGTCTGAGGGTCTGAGGGTCTGTGGGTCTGAGGGTCTGTGGGTCTGAGGGTCTGAGGGTCTGAGGGTCTGTGGGGTCTGAGGGTCTGTGGGTCTGAGGGTCTGAGGGTCTGTGGGTCTGAGGGTCTGAGGGTCTGAGGGTCTGAGGGTCTGAGGGTCTGAGGTCTGAGGGTCTGAGGGTCTGAGGGTCTCATCTGTAGGCCTTTTCGCGTAGGTAGTGTAATCCAGCTCTGTGGCTCATGCAGACCTGCCTCGTCCTCGTGCAGGTTCTGCTCACAAACTGTCTGTGTTATTATCTGTACAACACGAACTACCACAAAAACAACACGAGCACTCAGTTAATACTAAGTAATATTATGTTCATATTATGTATGGGGAGGGCAAACTTTTTGACTTGTGGGCCACAAAGGGTTCTAAAATTTGACGCAAGGGTCGGACCAGGAGTGTTTTTGGTAATCATATCTCATGATATATATATATATATATATATATATATATATATATATATATATATATATATATATATATATATATATATATATATATATATATGTGTGTGTGTTTCTCCCCTTGCATGGTGGTTGGTCTCTCTCAGGTCGTCTACCAGAGTCCTGGGAGCCTGAGAGTTCTTCAGTATCTTTGCTGTTCCAGTACTGCACTTTTCTGGACTGAGATGTTCTGTTTTTTTTCCCCTGTATCTGTTGTCGTCTCTTCCAGTTTGGGGGTTACAGCCCCGAGTGTCCGATCACCACAGACACCACTGATACTTTCACTTTCCAGACTTTCTCCAGCTCCTCTTGAGCCCCTGGTATTTCTCTAGTTTCTCTTGTTCCTTTTTCCTGATGTTACCATCTCTTGATGTTGTGATGTTCCACCACCACGGCTCTGCTCTGTTTCTTATCCACCACCACAATGTCTGGTTCGAATCCCCCCTCTGATGGGCAATGAGATAACCAGTGTGGGTCCTTGGGCAAGACCCTTTGTGTTACTGCCCACCTCATATAATGATGAGAGACAATGAAGCTTACGAGATATTCAATTATGGTATACATATACAATATGGTATATATAAATATATCCCATATTTGAAAATCATTACAAAGTATTACAACACAATATCTGTCTTTCAAGTCCTACAGTATTTACTATTTATTGAAATGACTTTTAAAACACTATTTTTATTATTATTATTCAAGTTCGATGGGCCAAATTAAAAAGATGAAAGGGCCGCAGATGGCCCCCGGGCCGTAGTTTGCCCACCTCTGTTTTATATCCTGTGCTTCAGTATTTATTATTTTATCAACACTAATGTGGATCTAAAACAAAACAGAAACAGAAGTGACATTTTCACTGTGGAACTGCACTCGAAAAGAGAAATCCAAAAACAAAAACGAACCAAACCTGTGACCAAACCTGTTCACATTAAAACATCAAACTGTGATCAACTTTCCCTGCACAGAAAAAAAGGCAGTGGGAGGTTTGTTGTGCACTGAACCGGAAGTCCCGCCTTAACCTCACTCCCATTGGTCATGTGGGATAAATCCTGCGCTCTGATTGGTCGGGACGCGCTGACTCTGCCGTACTTCCGGACAGCTGATCTGTCACCGCACGCAGGGGTCAAGGGGAAACAAGCATGGCCGCGCTATTCCGGGGGTCACGCACACTTTTATTCAGCTGGAACAAACATGTGGACTCCGCCTTGGGTAACGTATCCGCCGCGCCGCGCGTCCGCTCCTCACACCGGCTCTTTTCACGGCTCTTTCTGCACGCAGCGGGCGGTGTTAGCACTAGCACGTTAGCTCCGTTAGGTAAACAGTGTTGTTCCTGATCAGACCCAGACGCACGGGCGCCCCTCACCTGCGGCTCACCTGCGGCTCACGGAGGCTCACACGCGGGAGAAAAGCCCTGATGTGTCCCGCTGCGTCTGTCCCCGGGTTCTGTTGTTTAGATTTAGATCCAGAGACACAAGAGCAAAGACAGAACCTCATCTGTGTCTGATGCTCTGATGCATGTTTGTTTATTTTCTTATATAAGAACTAAGGATGTAACAATAACCCAAATATTGTGATATCGTATCATCAGAGTTCTCACAATATATCGAATTACAAGTCTGTTTGCTTAAATGAAGAGTTTTGGTGCAGCAATAGCTAAAAAAAAAGACAGAACTACATAGACCACAGGTGTCAAACATAAGGCCCGGGGGCTGGATCCGGCCCTCCAAGACCTTTAATGTTGCCCTCAGCTGATTTTCTACTAAAATATTTTAATCATATTTTCTTTTAAAATATTGTTAATTTTCTGTGGTGTTTATCACAGCAGCGTCTCCAGCGTCTCTGTACGTGGCCCCTCCCACCAGAGCAGCACAAATGAAGACTTGTCTCTTTCCAAACGCTCTTAAAGGACGATCGTTTTGACTGTTGACCGTGACACCCTCATCAGAAAAATGTCAAAAATGAGAAAAGTGGAGCCGAGTGCAGGATTTTACAAGAAAAATTGACTTATTCCTATATGAATACAAGTTCATGTTAAAACATTGTGTTGAAATTGCAATTTATCTTAAATTTTCAGGTTGTTCATAATATATAATAATATTTTGTAAAAGAAACAGTTCATCAGTTAAAAAAGATTTCTGTAATAGATTTGGGTTTCTCTGCACAAATATTTGAACTTATTGCTGTTTTTTGGAGTATATATGCCATGAGTTTTCTGATCCGGCCCCTTTGGGATCAAAGTAGGTTGGATTCGGCCCCTGGACCAAAATGAGTTTGACACCCCTGACATAAACCATGATCCTTTGCTCCATTTCAGCGCAGATTACAAGAAGAAATAACAGTTCTAACACTTTTAAGTCTTAGTTCTTTGAGTTAAGTCTTGTCAAGGCATTTTAAGAGGAAAAAGTAGTACCTTAACCTCCACAAAATATCGCAACAAAAATAATAATAACAGTGAGATGTATATCGTGAAAATATTGTACAGAGAGATTTGGATACCCAGGGTGTCTGGGTGCTCCCCTAGAGATAGAGTGAGGAGCTCAGTCACACGGAAGGAGCTCGGAGTAGAGCTGCTGCTCCTCCATGTCGAGAGGAGCCAGTTGAGGCTCGGGCATCTGTTTCAGATGCCTCCTGGACGCCTCCCTCGGGAGGTGTTCTGGGCATGTCCCACCGGGAGGAGGCCCCGGGGAAGACACAGGACACGCTGGAGGGACTATGTCTCTAGGCTGGCCTGGGAACACCTCGGGATCCCCCTGGAGGAGCTGGAGGAAGTGTCCAGGAAGTCTGGGAGTCCCTGCTTAGACTGCTGCCTTGGATAAGAGGAAGAAAATGGATGGATGGATGGATGGAGATTTGGATATTGTTACATCCCTAATCATGAGCCTCCCCACCATATCGTGAGCACAATAAATATCGTACTGTGAGGTTCATACCGTGACCATATCGTATCGTGAGACTTGAATATCATTACACCCCTAATAAGAACATACACTACTGGTCAAAGGTTTTAGAACACCACACTTTTTCCAATTTTGTACACTTTACAGTTGCCCGAAACGTATTCTAAACTTTTGAGTGATGAAAGTGTCCACCTTTGGCAGATATAACAGCTGAACACACTCATGGCTCGATCTTTTTACAAAAGAAATCAAATATTGTTCAGAAAGTTTTTCCCAAGTCTGTTGCAGAAGTTTTCATAAATGTGTGGCACTTGTCGGTCGCTTCACTCTTCTGTCCAGTTCATCCCAAACCAGCTCCATGGGGTTTAAGTCTGGACACTGTGCTGCTGCTGGACACTCCAGGTTTTCAAGCTTTACCATCTTGTTCTTTTTTCCTGAGGTAGTTTTGGCCGAGCTTGGACTTGTGTTTTGTATCTTTTATCTTTTTTTCAACCTCTGTCTGTTCAGTTTTTACCTTTGTACCATTTCAAGCTCTTTGTTGGACTTGCACGACTTGAACGGCAATAAATAACTGGAAAAATGAGGGTGTTCTAAAACTTTTGACCGGTAGTGACAGGAAATTACATAATCCTTTGGCTTTGTATTTACTTCTGTTTGCAAAGATTGTATTTATTACTGCATGTAAGAGGAAAAACGTGCCAAGATATAATGGTTAGTTTGTTGGTCTGTGTAACATTCGTTCTTTTGAATTTCAATTAAGAACGGAAAACAGTTTATTTAATTATTCCGCATTATTAGTGTAAAAAAAAAAAAAAACAGATTTAAATTTTTTATTGCTATTGTTTATTTTAAATTGTTATTTCTATTGTTTATTTCAAATAACCCCAATAAAACAGCCTCCGTGCCTGTTTTAATTATGATATTTTATTCTCTCTGGTTTATTTGCCCTGGAAAGTTTGAATTAATTTGTTTGGAGCTCGTTTTTGAGGGGGTCCTCATAGTTACAACAACAAAAGACAGATCCAGTAGGGCAGACAGGAGGATATAGAAATTCACATAAACATTAAAACAACAAAATCAACACACTCACACTTGAATGTTTGACACATAATAAAGTAAATTTGAACAAAGAAACTGAGACAGAGTTCAAAGATGAATCACAAAATCAACAAGATGAACAACAAAATTCAACAAAACAATGACACGGGTTCTGTAAATATTGAACCAGACCATTTTTAAATGAAGGGACAGAAGTTAATGCGCGAATCGATGTAGTAGAAGTTTTGCTGCTGCTAGAGAATAAAATATCAAAACTAAAATAGGCACCGAGACAGTTTTTTTTATTTTTTTATTTTATTTTGATTGGTGTTATTTGAAATAAACTTTAAATTAAATATTGGAAATGGAGGTTGAATTCTGGTTTTTTTTTTGTTTGACACTAAAACAGAATAATGAAATAACAAACTTTTTCCCCATTTTATTGTTTTTTGTTCTTAACTGAAATTCAAAAGCACAAATATTACACAGATCTTTATTTTGTTGGTTCAGTGAGAGTTTTTATTTTTGCATGAACGACAATGGAACTATCATCTTAAACACTTTGAGGGCGAAATGTTTTAGGCTGAACTCAAGTTGAAATTAAAGATGCACTATGTACTTTTCTGCTGCTTGTCTCCATGGAGTTACGTTTGCTTTGCCTGGAATGTTCCGCAGTTTGGCATTAACCTGATCTGTCCAGCCTGTGTTTCATTTTATTTGGTAGAAAAGTTCAGCGCTATTCTGTGTAACACTCTAAGCCAAGCAACAATATCACCATGGAGACGAGCAGGTAAAAAAGTGACGCGGTGCTCCTTTAAATCCTGGACAGTTTAGTGGGACTTTCTCCGTGTTTTTCGTGTGTTGTTTCGCTTTGGTCTCTGGTCGATCAGTGAGTGAACGTGTGCTGTGTCAGCGTTATAAACATACAGTGTTTTCACAGAACGGCCCAAAGTTCAATCCTACAACTGCTGCCAATGTTTACTCTGTAGTAGGGCCGTCAAAAGTGTAGAAATCTAACACTAACTGATACTAAAACTACTATAAAACCTAGATAGACGAGCTGGTATTGATACTAAAAAGTCCCATTGACAGGATCGAAATGAACGTCTTAAGAATGATCTTGAAGCTGCATTAGAACAAGTATAAGAGCGCATAGATTAGTACCGTATTTTCCGCACTATTAGGCGTTCTAGATTATAAGGCGCACTGTCATTAAATGGTCTATTTTCAGTGGTTTTGTTTGTTTGTTCGTTCACGGTGACTCTGGGCTTTGTTCAGTTGTGGCGTGTAGGGAGGGTGCTGTCTGGGACCAACGGATTGTCGGCGTGTTCGCAGTGACTCGGTTGTTCAGTCGTGTCTAGAAGCGGCACGTTGCACTCGAATCCGTGTATCATTCGTTCATTCCTTTTTTCAATATAAAAGCAAAAATAAGAAAACGAAATAACTGTTTTCTTCATTATTTGTCTCCAAAACCAAAATAAAAAAACAGATAACAATTCGATTTTTTTCAGTTTTTGATTTTGTTTTTAAATGAAGAATGGAAAAAACGATAACGGCCGTTTCCCGTTTTCGTGACTTCCGTGACTGCGATGCCGGACTTTTACACTGCATACGGACTGAACCAGGACTGATCCAGGTCCAAAACCAGAGCGGGACCAGGGCGGGACCAGGGCGGGACCAGGGCGGGACCAGGGCGGGACCAGGGCGGACTCCGAGCTTTGACTCCGAGCCTCCGGGGGTCTGAGCCCTCTGCGAGCCTCCGGTCCGGTCTGAGTCTGGTCGCTCTCCGGTCTCCGGTCTGGTCTCGGTCTCTCCCGGTCTCAGGTCTCTGGTCTCAGTCCTGGTTCCGGTCTGGTCTCGAACCTGGATCAGTCCTGGTTCAGTCCGTATGCAGTGTAAAAGTCCGGCATCGCAGTCACGAAAGTCACGAAAACGGGAAACATTATCTATCTGTTTTTTCCATTCTTCGTTTAAACACAAAATCGAAAACTGAAAAAAACGAATCATTATCCGTTTTTTCATTTTGGTTTTGGAGACAAATAATGAAGAAAACAGTTGTTTTTTCGTTTTCTTATTTTTGGTTTTATATTGAAAAACGAATGAATGAATGATACACAGGATTCACTCACTTTTTCGGTTCGTTCCTCCGTTCCGTTCCTCGTCGGCGTGGAGTGATGAGTGTGTCTGTGGGTGTGTTTCGCTGTGCGGTCGCTGTCTGCCCCGTGTGTGTTTGTGTGTTCTGCGGGTGGTGCGGCTTTGTAGTTTACTGAAGTCGTCTGAGTGGATTCGTGTATAGGGCGTCTGGATTGTAGGCGCGCGGTCGTTTTCTGATGGGGTTGGAGGCTTATGGGCGCGTCCTCTGGTGCAGAAAATACGGTATACACTCATTCTATTGTCTAAAGGAAGTGTGTTTTTAATTCTTCTTCTTTATATTTTCGTGGTGTTTAACATAAATCACAAATCTAGCTGCAGTCAAAAAAATCACAACCAGATATTTTTTCAGAAATGGTTCAACCCTTGTAGCCAAAAGGCAGAGTTATCGTTCTGTGTCGACTCAACGCACACTGACACTGTCGTCTTGTTTTCGTCGTTTTTGATTTATGGATCTGCGTCGAGGTCTATGCGCCGCAAAGTAATTCACCGCCACAACTAGGGGTGTAACGATATCCAAGTTTCATGATACCATATCATCACGGTACGAACCTCACGGTACAATATTTATTGCGATATCATGGGAAAGCTCACGATATGTTGGGGAGCCTCACGATTAGAGATGTAACAATATCCAAATCTCTCTGTACGATATTTTCACAATATACATCTCATGTTACGATATTTATTGCGATATTTTATGGAGACTGTGAACAATAATATGCTCCTTTTTCCTCTTAAAATGCCTTGACAAGACTTAACCCAAAGAAGTAAGACTTAAAAGTGTTAGAACTGTTATTTCTTCTTGAAGTCTGCACTGAAATGAAGCAAAAATTCATTAATTTACGCGAAGAGACTTTGATATATTGGGATGGTCCATGAGATTACTGTGAGAACTTTGACGATACGATATCACGATATTTCGGTTATTGTTACATCCCTAGCAACAACACTAGGAGGCGAGGATTTAAAACTGACGCTGGTGTTTACAAAATGAAGCGGGAAAGCGGAGCACCGGAAATATATATGGAGTGGATGTAGAGACGACCAATCACAGCCGTAATTGTCTGGGTCGTTTTAACACGTAGTTAGAAGATTTCGGAGGTACACATCGGTCGACACAGAGGGAGTTCAAGGCGACGCAGACGATTTGACGCGTGACCAGAAATTGGGCTTAAATCTTCTTTGGGGAAATCTGAGGCTGTTGAGGCCAGCGTGAGGTCCTGATAATTTTTGTTTGCTCAGTGTGTGTTTGTTTTGTTTGCTCAGTGTGAGTTTGTTTTATTTGCTCAGTGTGTATTTGTGTCGTTTGCTCAGTGTGTACGCGGACCATGGCCTCTAAAACCCCAGTGGGCTTCATCGGTGTGGGGAACATGGGAACGCCGATGGCCAAGAACCTGCTGAAGAACGGTTACCCCGTCATCTGCACGGACGTGTTCCCCGAGTCGTGTAAGGAGCTGCAGGACATAGGCGCTCAGGTAACACGCTATACTGTACTGTACTATACTATTCTATACTGTACTATATACTTCACACAATGTAGCTGCACATCCGGCAGTACAAGATCTCTATCTCTGAACAAAAACAAAACACTGTCACACCACACTGCTGCTGTCACTACTGTAGTTCCAGCTCTCACAAGGGCGTCCGGCTGTTGTGTCCTTGGGCAAGACGCTCATCTGTCTGCAAGAGTGTGTGTTTTTGTGAGGCAGACGCTGAATCACGGTTAAAATAAGCTCTGGGCTATAACTGTGTGTTTTGTTTCATACATGTTTGTGCACATGAGACACACACACGCTGAATGAAACACTTTAAATAGGTGGGCGTGTTTCACATCAAAACAAAACTAACATTGAAATGAATGAATGAAGCTTTCGTGATCTTGATCGGTCTGTGTACCATTCAGTCTTTTCAATTTGTATTAAGAACGAAAAGCAATAAAATGGAAAACAGTTTGTTATTTCATTTTTCAGTTTTAGTGTCAAACAAAAAACAGATTTGGACCTCTATTTCCATTATTTAATTTAAGGTTTATTTTAAAAAAAACACCCATCAAAAAACAGTCTCATACCTATTTTAATTTTGATATTTTAGTCTCTCTGGTTTATTTGCCCCGAAAGTTCTGCTGCGTGCGAATTCAGTGTCATCTGAACAAAGGAGAGTTTATCGCTGCTTCCTGCATCATGGAGTTCAACAATGACTTTCTAAAATGGAAAAGTAAACGCGTCGCTATAAAAGAAGACGACACGTTTGTGCACAAAATTGCAAAGATTTTTTTTAGGAAAGCCCTTCTCGTAGCAGAACTTCTGAGGCAAATAAACCAGAGAGAATGAAATATCAAAACTGAAATAGGCATGAGACTGTCGAAATCTGTTTTTTTGTTTGACACTAAAACAGAATAATGACATAAACTGTTTTCACATTTTATTGTTTTTTGTTCTTAATTAAAATTCAAAAGAACGGATGGTACACGGACCTTGAGGACTCAGGCTGTCCTCTCTCCTTTCTGCAGTTGACTTCAGGACTGACAGAACTAGGGACGGGCATTCGATGAAATTTTCTTAATCGATCGTCGGAAGAATTAACGATCGATTATCGATTAATCATTAACGTTTTTATATTAAAATGATCATCATTATTATTACTATCTGCACTACTAATCTGCATAAATAAATTCAACTTTACGACATATAAACCGTAACGACTCTAGAGCCACATCAGCCCGTTTGACATTATAATGTGTTTAATTCAGTTTTGTTCAACTCACAGAAACAAAACTTAAAACCACATCACTAATTTGCATAAACTAAGCGAAGATAAAACTACAGCTCTTGTGTCACTGATGTGGTTCAATTTCTGTTGGATTAAAAGACATGACTCAGGTGAATACAGGTTAGTGTGACCAGATTTGCGTTTGTCAAAACCAGGACACCGTACGGGGGGAGGGAGGTGGGGACTCGTCATCGACATTGAGCGACTCTCACCTGGTAAAACTTTTTCCCACTGGACACAGAAACATATGTGCTGCTTTATACACTGTGCACATGGACTCACACTTGTCCCGAACGCAACGGAAAGTGTGGAATTTCTTGTACAAATCATCGTTAAATCCACATTTGTGCTTCGGTACGTTGTAGACTGACCCACTGTTTCTGTTTGTGTCTCGCTCCTTCTGATGCAGAGACACATGTACACACCTGTTTGGTCACGATACACACAGAAACATACATTCGATTTGTCTATTAAAATTAACGTAATCGATGAAATTCTTAATGATCAATTATTGATTAATCGACTAATCATGCCCATCCCTAGACACAACATTAACTCTTTTTTACTATGGGTCAAGTCGCCCACACGTGCACATGTCAGTTCGTTCAGAATTCTCTCAACATCACTGCAGATGTGTTTAAAGTGTGTGTTCTGGTGCAGGTGGTGGACACTCCGGCCGACGTGGCGGACAGAGCCGACCGCATCATCACCATGCTGCCTTCAAGTCCCAACGTGATCGACGCCTACATGGGAAACAACGGCATCCTCAAGTACGCCGTGACAACACTCATGACTGTCATAAGTAGAGCTCTCCTCTTTGGTCTGTGATTAAACTCAGGAGCTCTAAACGATACTGAGACTGTAACTCGTCTTAAAGGCAAAAATCGCCTGTAAAGAAATCATTAACGTAGCCGGCATTTACCTGAAGTAATACGTAACATTACGGTGGCCCCTGTGGATCAATGAAAACTGGACACAACATGTATCTAGACTTTGGCCTCTACCACCACCACATAATGGGGAATTTACTCTGTAGTACATTTTACTAATAACAAACAGGCAATACATTTAAATACATTTATTCAACTAATGAGCAGCAAAAAAAAAAAAAAGAAAAAAAAGAATGCTGCCTGAATCTAGGTTTGTGAAAGATAAAAATATAAGATTACAAACGTTTAAATCTCAAGCTTTATCACTTTTATTTTATTTTATTAATTAATGTATTTTTATATTTATTTATTTATTTATTTAATTATTTATTTATTTACTTATTACTCATGGGATAGTGAGAAACACAATTTGGATTGTTTTGTATGATCTTTTAAAATGAAGAATTGACAGTAAACTCTGAACTTGAACCTGAAATAAACACAGTATCACAATACACAGACACACATGCTGTCAGTCACACTAGGCCCATGCACAGCTCTGGCCTTTCTGCTCTAAGCCTAATATTTATGTGTGTGTGTGTGTGTTGTTTGTGTAGGAAAGTGAAGAAGGGCACTCTGCTGATCGACTCGTCCACCATAGACCCGTACGTGTCCAAGGACATGGCAGTGACCGCCGAGAAGATGGGAGCAGTTTTCATGGACGCCCCAGTGTCAGGAGGTAAGTGTCACTCACACACACAAACGCACAAACACAAATACTAGAGCAGGGGTCTCAGACTCAACAACAGATTATTAACGCATCTTACATCCCAAAACTCAACTTGCAGCAGTTGTGAAGCAACGAGTCTAAGTGGATCTGTTAATACGAGTACACGTGCACATACCGCGTTTTTTTTTTTTTTTTTTGGTGCAACTGCTGTTTATCGAATACTCAATGTGGCCCAGCCTCACTCAGACTTTATCTAATGTGGCCCCCAGGTAATTTGAGTTTGAGACCCCTGTACTAGAGTCACTGGTGTTAAGTTCTTGTCCTGGTCTCCTCTGAGGTGAGGGTTTGCTCTTGGTTGGTTGTGTTTTTCCATAAAGCCGTTGGAGCGCCGTCTCTGCAGATAATTTAAGCCTTGTGGAAAATATCTAACTCATACTTAAACTGTGGCATTTGGATTTCCAAAGTGGCGGCTCTTGAGTTCTTTTAGTTTCTTTTAGTGGATGTGGTCTCCAAAATGAAAGTGATAATCTCTCTCTTAAACACTAAATCTGCTTATTATTGTATTTTGTTCTGTGAAATACAGTTGTGTGCAGATGTGACTGATCCTGTAGAGTGAGTCAGGCTGTTCATGGTCACATTATCGTTTAAACAGTATTCAGAGTTGTTTCCACTATTGCGATTGAACAGACTAGGGCTGGGCAATTTTATCTGAAATTAAAATGATATATTTTTTTTGTCAACCCCCCTCTACTGAAAATGTTCTGCAAACTACAAAAAATAATTAGAACTAAAAAGATTCTATTGAGAAGTGCTGTTCATATGTAACCCATTGGGGGAAATCTTTAACGAATGAGATAAAACAAACGTTACATTAAACATGCAGCTCCGACATTTAATTTGACGTTACTGATTTCAGAGCATCAGCTGCATGTCGCTGTGTTAAACTCTGCCCCTGTGACTGCAATGAGAGGTCTGTCGTGCATTTCCATTACAATTTCCAATGCAAGAAAGTGAGGAAAATATAAATCGATTTTTCTCCAAACTAATCGGTTTGAACTTCAATCTATTTTTTTGCTCAGCCCTAGAACAGATGTGACTGTTGTTGAGTCGGATATAACATTTTGTGAGGAATCCTTACCTTTTATAATGTTTTAGTTTTACTTTATTTTTAATTTAAACTTTTATAAACAGAACTTGATTAGTATAAATTAGACGGGCCTTTTTGTTTCAGTGCTGTGTGGCAGTACCTTCAATATTTGTCTCTTCAAACATTGTGATAACTGAGCTGGAGACTGAGTAGATTTGAAAGATTTGAGTTCTGAGCTGCGGCCCTGTTTTATCTCTCCGGAGCATCAGAGTTTAAGCATTTCAACCCTGGGCCTCTTCTTGTGTTTGTCAAACCTGTGCATATCTGCTGTGTGAGGTCTCTGTCAGGTCTCTATTAGGTGTATTCTCTGTGGGGTCTGTTCTCTGTGAGGTCTGTTCTCTGTGAGGTCTGTTCTCTGTGAGGTCTGTTCTCTGTGAGGCAGGGGGCTCGGAAGCTACCAGTAGCTCTTCACCCTCTTCCAAGTAGCTCACCAAAGGATTTCAGAGTTAAACCATTGTGCTGAATAACTAAATTTTGGTTTATTACATGCCTCTTACCATTGTACATGTGTCATTTTGAAGCCCAACTTTGTGCATTAAAAATTGGACAATCATTTATGTTTTTTGGCGCCTAACTGTATCCAAATGCTCGCCCTCGAGTTTCTAGTAATTGTCTCAGTTTCTTGCAGCAGTTAAAACGAGTAGCGCTCTGGCATTTTTTGTTTGCTCACCGGAGGAAAATGGTTGGAGACTCCTGCTGTAAGGTCTCTCAGTCTGTACGTAACCTGGTCCCTGTGAAGTCTCTGGGGTCTCTGTGAGGTGTCTCAGTTTGTATTTAATCTGTGAGGTCCCTGTGAGGTCTGTGTGAGGTCTCAGTCTGTATCTAACCTGCTCTCTGTGAGGTTCCCATGAGGTCTCTGTGAGGTTCCCATGAGGTCTCTGTGAGGTTCCCATGAGGTCTCTGTGAGGTTCCCGTGAGGTCCCTGTGAGCTCTCTGCTCTGTGAGGTCTCTCTGAGATCTCTGTGAGGTCTCTGAGGTCTCAGTCTGTATCTAACTTGTTCTATGTGAGCTCTCTGAGGTCTCTATGAGGTCTCTGAGGTCCCTGTGAATTCCTTGTGAGGTCCCTGTGAGGTCTCAGTCTGTATCTAACCTGTTTTCTGTAAGGTCCCTGTGAGGTCCCTGTGAGGTCCTCGTGAGGTCTCTTTGTGGTCCCTGTGGGGTCTTTTTGTGGTCTCTGTTCTCTGTGAAGTTTCTGTGAGGTTTGGTCCCTCTCAGGTCCCTGTGTGGTCTCTATTCTCTGTGAGGTCCCTGTAAGGTCCTTGTGAGGTGTCTTTGTGGTCTCTGTTCTCTGTGAGGTCCTTGTGAGGTCTCTTTGTGGTCCCTGTGAGGTCTTTTTGTGGTCTCTGTTCTCTGTGAGGTCTCTGTGAGGTCCCTGTGAGGTCCCTGTGAAGTTTCTGTGAGGTTTGGTCCCTCTGAGGTCCCTGTGTGGTCTCTATTCTCTGTGAGGTCCCTGTAAGGTCCTTGTGAGGTCTCTTTGTGGTCTCTGTTCTCTGTGAGGTCCCTGTGAGGTCTCTTTGTGGTCTCTGTTCTCTGTGAAGTCCCTGTGAGGTCTCTTTGTGGTCTATTCTCTGTGTGGTCCCTGTGAGGTCCCTGTGAGGTCTCTTTGTGGTCTCTGTTCTCTGTGAAGTCCCTGTGAGGTCTCTTTGTGGTCTGTTCTCTGTGTGGTCCCTGTGAGGTCTCTGTGTGGTCTCTATTCTCTGTGAGGTCCCTGTAAGGTCCTTGTGAGGTCTCTTTGTGGTCTCTGTTTCCTGTAAGGTCCTTGTGAGGTCCCTGTGAGGTCCTTGTGAGGTCTCTTTGTGGTCTGTTCTCTGTGAGGTCTTTTTGAGGTCTCTTTGTGGTCTCTGTTCTCTGTGAGGTCCCTGTGAGGTCTCTTTGTGGTCTCTGTTCTCTGTGAGGTCCCTGTGAGGTCTCTTTGTGGTCTGTTCTCTGTGAGGTCTCTTTGTGGTCTCTGTTCTCTGTGAAGTCCCTGTGAGGTCTCCTTTGTGGTCTGTTCTCTGTGTGTGGTCCCTGTGAGGTCTCTGTGAGGTCCCTGTAAGGTCCTTGTGAGGTCTCTTTGTGGTCTCTGTTTCCTGTAAGGTCTTTGTGAGGTCCCTGTGAGGTCCTTGTGAGGTCTCTTTGTGGTCTCTGTTCTCTGTGAGGTCTTGAGGTCTCTTTGTGGTCTCTGTTCTCTGTGAGGTCCCTGTGAGGTCTCTTTGTGGTCTCTGTTCTCTGTGAGGTCCCTGTGAGGTCTCTTTGTGGTCTGTTCTCTGTGTGGTCCCTGTGAGGTCTCTGTGTGGTCTCTATTCTCTGTGAGGTCCCTGTAAGGTCCTTGTGAGGTCTCTTTGTGGTCTCTGTTTCCTGTAAGGTCCTTGTGAGGTCCCTGTGAGGTCCTTGTGAGGTCTCTTTGTGGTCTGTTCTCTGTGAGGTCTTTTTGAGGTCTCTTTGTGGTCTCTGTTCTCTGTGAGGTCCCTGTGAGGTCTCTTTGTGGTCTCTGTTCTCTCTGTGAGGTCCCTGTGAGGTCTCTTTGTGGTCTGTTCTCTCTGTGAGGTCTCTTTGTGGTCTCTGTTCTCTGTGAAGTCCCTGTGAGGTCTCTTTGTGGTCTGTTCTCTGTGAGGTCCCTGTGAGGTCTCTTTGTGGTCTGTTCTCTGTGAGGTCCTTGTGAGGTCCCTGTGAGGTCTCTTTGTGGTCTCTGTTCTCTGTGAGGTCCCTGTGAGGTCTCGGTGTGTACCTGACCTCTCCTCCTCGGGGCTAAGTGGCGGTTAGGGCCCCGGCGTTTGGCGTAGGGACACGTCGTTATTACTGAGTGCTCTTGGGTTTTTACTGCTGCCTTTGACCGCCGTCTGGAGACAAGGTGAAGGTTTGAAGTCTCATTACGCTGACGCTCCCTGACACTGGCCAGACTCCTCTTTAATGGGCCGTACCGCGCCGGGCCAAACCGCGCCGGACAAGCCCACGTCAGCCTGTTTCATGTTGATGGAGCCGTAATGGCGTCCGTCCTCTGCCAGTGTCTTTCATGTGAGATAAAGAGTCATAAAGAGCGAGGAGCGCAGCCGAGCCGGAGCGAGGAGGAGAGGAGTCTGATAAGATACGGACGAGACAGCGGCTGTAAAAGTGTCCGTCACAGAGTCTGCGTCAGGTTCAGTCCGTTTAAACCTCCGCTCAACAGACAAGACTCGTCACTCTGGACTTAGACGAACTTTACTCATCCACAAGAGGAATTATTTGGACACAGAAGCTCATACATCACAAGATAATATAATAACAGAGAAAGAAATATAAATGGTAATAATAAATTCTAGTGCTGTCAAAAATATTGTGTTATTAGCGAGTTATGGAATTATTTTTTTTTATTGCAAACTAGTTTTTTCATAAGGTGTGGTCACTGCTGTAATGTTAGAAATATTGGAAAAAAAAAACAAAACAAAACAAAACAGGGGTCCCCAACCCTCGGATTACGGATACCAGGCCTCCTCCCGTACGTCGCATGGACTTTGCCTCCTCCCGTGTTTCCCGTGCCTCTAAAACAGGTCTAAAATCAGGACTAAAACAGGATTTAACCAGGTCTAAACCAGAACTAATACCAGGTCTAAACCAGAACTAAAACCAGGTCTAAACCAGAACTAAAACCAGGTCTAAACCAGAACTAAAACCAGGTCTAAACCAGAACTTAAACCAGGTCTAAACCAGGTCTAAACCAGGTCTAAACCCAGGTCTAAACCAGAACTTAAACCAGGTCTAAACCAGGTCTAAAACCAGGTCTAAACCAGGTCTAAACCAGAACTAAAACCAGGTCTAAACCAGAACTTAAACCAGGTCTAAAATCAGGACTAAAACAGGATTTAACCAGTTCTAAACCAGAACTAATACCAGGTCTAAACCAGAA